GATGATGATGATGTCAGAACCAGGTGAAGGGTGTGACGATGATGATGTCAGAACCAGGTGAAGGGTGTGATGATGATGATGATGATAGAACCAGGTGAAGGGTGTGACGATGATGTCAGAACCAGGTGAAGGGTGTGATGATGATGATGATGTCAGAACCAGGTGAAGGGTGTGATGATCATGATGATGATGTCAGAACCAGGTGAAGGGTGTGATGATGATGATGAGGTCAGAACCAGGTGAAGGGTGTGATGATGATGATGATTATGATGTCAGAACCAGGTGAAGAGTGTGATGATGATGATGATGATGAGGTGTTTGGATGTTTTGAGTAAAACCAACTGACTGTATGTGTTGATCCCAGTTTAACGATTGGGTTTTCTGACTGGTCTGCAGAGGAACCTGTCCCGTCTCCAGCTTCTTGGATCAGAACCAGATCCAGGAAGAGATGGATAACTTGAAGATGGTGGAGGAAACTCTGGACTTTCTGATCCAGACCAGTGACCAGCAGCTGTTTGACATGACCGACGACCGCAACAACTCCACATATCCTTTAACCCCGGAGGTCACTGCTCTGTGTGGCAACATGTTGTTTATTGTGTTGTTTATTATTGTGTTCCAACAAGAATGAAATGAACTGAGGGCCTCACTCGAGGGCCCAGGGTGGGGCAAATGAGGGTGGAGGCAGGTGTGGTTCCACCTTTCCCACCCACATTTTGATGTTGTCGGTCCAAGGAGTTGAACCGGCGACCTTCTGATCACAGGCCCACCTTGTCTAACCTCTTACCACCACTCCCATTTTAGGGCTGAGTCTGGATGAGTTTGGGGACTGGACTGGTTTTCTGGTCTTGTTTCTTTGTTCTTCTCAGAGAATCGATGTTGTCGGCTCGATTGATCTAAATCCGTTGAACTGACTTCAACTTTAACTTGGCATGCACGTTGGCCTACGTGACGTTTGAGGACATAAGCCGGCTTGAAGCCTTTCAGGAGCAGACGTTGATCTTGGTGAAAGCTCCTGAGGACACTAGGCTGGAAATTCCAGCTCCTAAGGTACAGGTACCAGAGAGGGCCGGTTCTTCCTGGTTCTGATTCTGAGACTTGTTGAAATGATTGAATGATTCAAACTTTGGTGTTCTATTTCGTATAGGCTTTGCCCTTTAAGGCTGTCGCTTGGTGGGTTTATCCCGTTATGCGGAGCATTGCACTGAAAAATTGAGTCCACGCCCACCTGCTGTGTGGGCCCCACCCGGTCCGTATAAATTACATTAAGAGCGGGAAATCGGCTCCCATTTTTTCTTCAGCGAGCTAATAGCACTGTCAGAAGAACGAAGAAGGAAAGTTGTGTAGATGACCAACCTTTGCTAAGAATGCTTGGCCCGGCACGTCGACCTCCGGTCGTCCGGTGAGCTGTCCTCCCCGAGGAGAAGCTGACGTGCAGTCTTGTTTCAAGGTAAGCGCCGAGGAGTATTTCTCAGTGACAGGTCGCTACACGCTGGACAACGCCATCTTGTAATTTTCCTCTTATCGCCGACCCTCGGAGCGAATTGGATGGTTCCTCCGGGACAGGCAGCGTTCAGCTGCAGCCCCCCGCTTCTCATTCCCTCCTGGAGAGCGTAGTGTCGGTGGAGGGGGGCTGAGCGAATGCTCACCTCATCCCACCTCTTTCGCATCGGCGATCACACCGCTCCCGGCCGACGGCACCCTCTGGGGTTGCCCGGCGTAACCCAGGAGGCTGCTGACATGAAGGGACCCTTTTTTACGTCCTACGCCTTTCCCCGCCAGTTCAGATGATCCGGCGGGAAGGTTGTTTTTTCTAGGTTCCATTCCGGCTCACCGTCTTGATCCATCTGGCCTTGTTTTCCCAACAGGACGTACTACGGGCGAGGCCACAGACGGCTTTCCTTGTAGATTGGGGGAGCCGGTCTCCACAGTCCGCACCCATCTCCAGAGCAGGGGTTCACCGAGCGGAAATTCCCTCAGTGCCCCCTGGAGCCGAGCCTGACGGAGGCTTCATCGGAACAAGATGTCCAGGTGGACTAGCGTCCCGTGCCTCCAGTTAGCGTAACCCAGACGGTGACACCACTCTCCAACTGAGCTCACCAGCATGCGTTCCAGACGGCCACAGAGAACAACATGTTACGCTGTTGGCGTACACGTTCAGAGGCGGGAAGAGACTGTGGGCCCACTGACCTTCGGCTCGCTCCGCTCTCGTCACGGCTCTTCGCTAACGACGTTGTCGGCCCCTGCAGTACGCTCCGTCTACAGGGCAACTGACGTCATCCCCAACCGGTGCGCCTCTTTTGCTGTCTGCCGCCCCGCATCGTAGCCGGAGAACGAGGTCCCAGAGGTTCTCCTGGCTCATCACTCCACCTTCCACTCAGGAGAGTTGCAGAAGCTTTTGTTGGAGGGCCTTTTTTTATCAGCGAGAGATCATTTCAAGATGCTCCACGGCTGCACAACGCCTCTCCAGGTCTGCTACGCCAGCCCCTCCCGTCAGACGTCCTCGGCATCTGGAAGTTCAATTTTTCCCGGACTCCGCCAACAGGGGGCCCTCTAGGACAACAAACAGAGCTCAAGGGAAAATAACCAGGTGTCAGTTTGCTGGAGGTGTGTTGATGACACGATGTGAAATAAACATCATTTTATGATGAAGTGTCTTTTAGCCAGGCTGTCAGCACGGATGATCTGACAAGCGGCCCCATCACACACACTCATCATGAATGAGCCTTTTAAGGTTGTTTTCATTCACTGCCAGCGGTGCCAACACGCACTCGAGCAGCCTTCACCTATAAGGCGCTGCGTTATGAAAGTGCGCACGCAGCTCTCAGCACCCGCCGTTCATGTCAACGTTAACGTGAGATTGCGGTACAAGCCCAGTAACGTATCTCGCTCTCGGCAAGAGCGATGCGCGTTTTCACCGCAGGGGTGTCAAACGCGCGCTCCCGCGGCATCAACAGCTTCACAAGCCTCACAGCGGCCCCGCTCCTTCATCCTCTAAGAAGGTTTTCTGAATTAATACTGCAGCTCGTGGAATCACTCAAAA